AGAAGGACCACTTGAAATCAAGAGTTCAAGACCAGCCTGGGCAACATAACAAGACCCTCATCTCTTAAAAAAAAAAAAAAAAAGTAATTGCTCTTAGCTTAAGGGTTGCTTTAGTCAAGTGGTATTGAGAGAGCAGTGTGTGTGTGTGTGTGTGTGTGTGTGTGTGCAAAAAGGCAAATTTGGGGACGCCAGCCAAAAAAAGTGTGCCTGTCCAGGGCCTTGCCAAGCCAGGAAAAGGTACTGCACAGCAGGGCACTCTCTGCCCTTAGCTCAGTGCCCCCATTTCCCTGATGCCTGAGAAATCCTGCTATGGCCAGAGAGATAGAAGTTACTCAGGGATCTGAGGATGGTGCCCATCCTATTTCAAGGACATCACCAGGCACCTGACCTGCCATCTGTGACTAGAGGGCAAAGTCCTTTAAGGGGGGGGTCAAGCACTCCTTTGTACCCCCACATTACTTCCCCTTTGAGAGTGTTAACACGTATCTGCATTCTATCACCTGAACTTTATTCTCCGTTTAGGTTGATCTTTTAGTATGTCTAATACATGCTTGCTAATGCAAAAATTAGGAAGTTAATCATCTCATAGGAGCTTGAGGTTATGAGACACAGAACAGAGAAGCTTCAGTGGGGATTAGAGGACAAGCAGGGCATATAGTTGATGCCAGGGAGAGTAGACACCATTTGGGAGTGATGACGGTCAGCCCCTGTCCAGGAGCACCAACAGTAGGGACAGGGAGTGAGGAAGAACTCAGTCCCTCAGCTGTGGCATGGATGCCAAGGCCTCGCCTCATAAAGTCAAACTGATTTTAGGATTGTTGGATAAAAGTGAGCATGAACTAGAGGGTATGGGTTTGGGCCTGGGTCCTAGAGTTGCAAACTTGGGGCTCGGAGGAAGGCTAAGTGCCGAGAGGAGGCAGTGGAAGGCTCCAGAGCGTCCTTAGGCCTCCCCTGCTGGAAAGAGCACGTTGCCGAGGTTACCTGGACTTTACCCTCTCGGTGAGCCCGAGCCAGGGGCTCCCTGCTCCCTCCTGGCTCACATTCTGACTCTGATGTCACTGAGCTCTCTGTCCTCCCTTCCCATTTGCTTGTCTTAGGATCGAGCCAAACTGAACCGTTAGCTCCTTCCCTACCTGCCTCTCCCTGCACTTCCCCAGTGCCAACTCTTTGCTCTTCCTACACCGCCCCTGCCCCCACCAGCATGCCCTCCTCACCATCACCCTGCTTCTGAATTGTGTCCCAAATTTTGCCCACCCTTCCTGGCAGTATTTGTTTCCCATGGCTGCTGTCACAAATTACCGTAAACCTGGTGGCTTCAAACAACACAGACGTATTCTCTTACAGCTCTGTAGCCCATAAGTCTGACAGAGGTGTTCCTGAACTAAAATCAGGGTGTTTACAGGGCCGCATTCCTTCTAGAAGTTCTAGGGAAGAATGCACTGGCTTGCCTTGACCAGCTTCTGCAGCACCCACAGTCCTTGCCTGGTGGCCCCCTGCCTGCATCTTCAAATCCTCGCTCTGACCCCACTGCCACGTCTGTCTCCTCCTCTAACCGCAGCCAGAAGAGGTTCCTCTGTTAAGGAGCCATCTTAATTTGGGCCCACCTGGATAATCTAATCATCCCCACCCAAAGGCCTTAATTTAATTAAATTTGCAAATAATATGATTACAAAATTACTTGAAAGCAGAGTTGCTGTGTAAGACAAAATTTACATGTTCCAGGGATTAGGATGTGGCCACTTGGGGGTGAGACACTGTTCCCCCCACCACTCCGGCCCAGCCCAGGTAGCCCTCAGTGCCCTCTAAGCCCCTCTCCACCATTCTGGGCACCCCTGGCCCTTGGTCTAGGTTTCTTGAGTGCCTCTGCAGCCTTCCCCCAGCCCAGCTCTTACCACCCTGAATTGCAATTGCTTGTTGATTTGTCATTTTCTTGCAATAAACCTCAAGCTCTGTGAGAACAAGGACAGGGATTGTCTTGTTTACTGAGATATTCCCAGCACCTGGCACAGTGCTCGAAAAATATTTGGAGGGAAAAAGCTCTTCTGATACAGGAGATAGAAATTATTTCGGCAGATAGTGAGCACAAACAAGTCCTTGGCAGAACTTCCCGTCTAATAAGAAGCAGCCCTAGCAATCATTTCTAACAAAGAGCAACCAAACGTATATAAGTCAGCTGGCAGCTGCACTCATAGACAGGGCTACCTGGAGGCCAGGCGCGGCCCCATGGGGCTCCACCTTCCCTTTTTTGTTAGCACATGTACGATAAGAAAGCTGGGCAACATGGAGAAGCTCAAGCAGAGAACCCACATGCATGATAAAGATTGGGGTGGGGCTGCCAGAGATGTGTGCCCTATGCAGATGGCACACCTGGTCTAACTGGTCTTTTGTGCCCTATATAAATGAGATACCTTCTCCCCACTAGCTCATCTATAAAACCGCCTGCATTTCACCTTGAATCAGCAACCCATTTTTCCGGGACCCTTTTCTGTAGCAGAGAGCTATTCTCCTTCTTTTGCCTATTAAATGTCCACTCTTAACCTCAGTCTTTGTGTGTCTGCATCCTTGATCTCCATGGCCACGAGACAACAAACCTCGGGTGTCACCACAGACAACAAAGCCGCTTTGCTTCTATAACACATCACTTTCTATGTTACATTCCGACCACGTGATTGCTCCCCTGTTAGGTTGTGCGTTACTTGAGAGCAGAGTTGCATGTGATTTGTCTGTTGTATCCCTGGGGTACCTAGCATCTGTGAGCCCTGGAGCTTGGCTCACAGACAGTGTTTGGCACGTGTTTGTGGAATTAAATTGAATGAATAGTTCAGACTCACTTCGCTGGCGTGGCTCATAAACACAGGCACGTGGAGGATGTATGGGCGTGCGATGCCCTGGGTCAGGTAGGATTACTTGGGAAAATCTCCTGCAAGGCAAGTGCTTGGGCAGAGATTTGAATGAGATGAAAGATAAGGACTGGTAGGGCTGGGGGTGATAATGTCCTATGGAGGACTGCAATGAGCAAAGTCAAATGCAGGGACAGCTGGTGGGGGGAGGAACCAGTGAAGAGATGGGGTGGGGAAGTGCAGAAATGGTAACCAGGGCTTGGTTGCCAAATGGAGGGGTCTGAATTACATGCAACAGGGTGCTTGCTACCAGGGATTATGGAGCAATGAGCGATGTGCTAAAGACAGTTGGAGGAAGGCAGGATGGACCTAGGAGGACAGAGGAAGGGAGGCATTCAGAGAGCAGAGTGCTAGCCAAGGAAAGACACAGGCAGGGAGATGAATGCTGCCTCTTGGGGACAGCTGGATAGACTGGATGTGGAAATAGGAGAGAGGAGTCAGAGGCAGTTTGACGCCCCATCCAGGACCTGCAGAAGTGCAGAATGACAGTGGAAGGCCCCCTTTCTGTTTAATGAGGAAGATAGTGAACTCAGTATTGGGTATCTTTAGTGTTGTGGGTCAGAGGGTCATCCCTTGGAGGTGACAGACTCAGCCCCATGCTTTTGTCCCCATGAAAGTCCCCACCTCCACACAGAACATATATGGGATGAAGAAGTGTGTTTTTCTAGTACCTGAACAGTCCCTTCTGCCCCCGCGAGGTAGGCATCCTGTCTCTGCCAGAGCCTGCTCCCCAAAGCAGCCATTCTGACCTCCGTAATGAGCTAACATTTCCATTTAAAGAGCTTCCCTCTTTGTGCCAGATGCTGTTCTAGGTGCTTTGCGCATATAAACTCATTAGATCCCCACAACCACCCTGAAAGTTTGGCAATATGAATCCCATTTTATGGACATGGAAACAGAGACTTCTGAAAGGATTCCAAAGACCCAAAGGCGGTGTCCTAAAGGAAACACCCAAATTCACACAACTAGGAAGGGAGGAACCAGGATTCCTGCCCTGGTCACTCTACTCCAAAGCCTGACCTTTGCATCACACCACAGGCCTCCTGCGCCTGCCCCTGCCAACTAGGTTTAATTTAATTCTACCAGTTCAGCTTAGCAAACACTTCCTAAGCACCCACCAAGCACAGGACACTCTGCCAGGTGGCAAGGATACAAAAAGGAATAAGACATAAGCATAGGATACAGGAATATAAACTCAGTAGCCTCCAGGTAAGTGCCCATCTCAGTTCACAGGGCCTGCGAGGGGCTTGATTCCACCTGGACCCAATCCAGCCACCAACCTCAAGTTGGGGCCATATGGATACCGCCCCCAGCCCTAAGGAATCCCAACATATCAAAGCTGAAGGGGATCTTAAAATCCAGCCAAATCATTTTACAGATAAGGGACGTAAGGGAAGCTGCGGCCCAGAGAAGGGAGGTATCTTTTCCAAGCTAACACAGCTTCACAGCAGGCAGGGCCAGGGTCAAAGGCCCTGTGTCCCCACTCCGAGTCTAGTGCCCTGAATTCAGATGACTCCTCTTTCCTTGACAGCTGACAAGAAGTTCACATCTGCCCCATAACAGCCTGGGACCCCCACCCCTGCATCCTGGCCATGCTCACTTTGGCCCATTTTGCCAGGCCCAGCACCAGCGTGGGGTAGGGCGACCGGGCTGAGGACGCTGCTGTGCGCACTCCTCACAGGCCCAGCCCGCACCAGCCCATCTCAACCCTCGATTTCTCCTTTTCAGGGGTGTGTGTAGGGGTAGAGGCGTTGCCTAGCAGAAAGTCTTCCGCAGCAAAGATGTGGATCCCTAAGTAACATTTCCAGATTTTTAATGAGGACAAAGCCCTTCAATCTCTCTTACCATTTTTGTTGATGTTACTAGCATGCAGTGTATAAAGTGCTTTCTCTCTAAAACAGCAGGATGAAACAAGCTGAGCTTTATAACACAAGGAAGGGCGAAGCACTGCAGTGAGAGTTCTACAGGCCACACAAAGGAGAGACCCTTCCCCATGAGTTTGGAAGGCTGACGTTCCCTTTTCTGGTTTGCTTGGGTTTGAGAAATGCCCGCCTCTCCCTTGCGCAAGAGTCTCCACGCCCAGGTGAAGGCGGGTCTTGTTGCCATGGCGACAGCGAGGTTGGGCTGGGGGGCTGCTCTGGCAGCCAATAGAAGCTAGGAGAGGGCGGGGCCAGCTGGGTCGTGTGCGGCTGCGGCGGGGCTTGCAGGTTCGTGAACGCGGCATTGGGGGAGGGGATGGGGGTCGCGGGGGCACTAGGGGTCCCAGTCCCCCCCAAGACGTCTGGGCGTGGTGGGCACTGGCCTTCGCCGTCAGAGCAGGGGTCCCAGGCTTGCACCCAAAGTTCCCGTCGGGCCCAAGCGGGGAGGAGCTGCGGGGCGGGCCGAGGCGGAGATGGCGGAGGGCGGTGGGACGCGATGCGCGGGTCAGAGCCGGGCCTTGAGAAGAAACTAGAGGCCCCTGGCGGCTGTGTCTCGGCGAGGCCCCCTCTGCCTGGCCCACCAGTTGGCCGGCGGAGAGCGGGAGGCTTGGGCGGGAGGGAAGGCAGCGTTTGGCGACCGGGTTTAGCAGGCCTTGGAATCCTGGAGCCCAGCCCCCAACCCCAGTCCCACTTCTTGGCAAGATGGTTAAGGGCCTAGCGTGCTGGCTGCGGTGTGGCCACCTTCCCCTTCTCCGACTCCGTATCTCTTTTTCCAGGTGTCCGGCTTTGCTGACCCACAAGCCTGATAAGCATGAAGCTCTTATCTTTGGCGGCTGTGGTCGGGTGTTTGCTGGTGCCCCCAGCTGAAGCCAACAAGGTGAGGGAGGTGAGCCAGGAGCACCTGGTCACGACCACCGTGCACGGCCACCCTGTCTACGGGGCTGACTCAGAGGTAGCTGCTCCTTAAGCCTGCCTCTCACTCACTCACGGGCCGAACTTTTGTAGTGGTCTTCTTTCAGGTTCCAGGCTGCAGGCCTCCCTAAGGATAGTTCGGGAGAGGAGCGGGGAAGGGTGGGGCACAGAGCACGGGCTCGCACTCTGGATCAGACAGACCAGTGGGGGAATTCCAGCAAGGAAGTTTGGAGAAGTTATCTAAGTTCTCCATAACTTCCTTTGCTTGGGACCAGAAGTATTTTTCGTTTCAGGTATTTTGGATTTGGGAGTATTTGCACATACAAAATGAGATATCTTAGGGAGGGGACCCAAGTCTAAACCTGAAGTTCGTTTATGTTTCATAAACGCTGCTGTATCCACATAGTCTGAAGGTAATTTTAGACAATATTTTCAACAGTTTTGTGCAGGAAACAAAGTTTATTTACACTGAACCATCAGAAAGCAAAGGTGTCACTATCTCAGCTACCCGTGTGCAAAGTCTGGTTGGTTGGCATCACCAGTATTCCAGACAATGAATTTATATGTTACAGATAAATCTTTTCTTACATGTAAGTACTTAACAGTGAAAAGTATGATGTCCTATTAACACAGTGAAAAAAATAACGTGTGCAGGGTAACTAAGTACAGCAGCACCACCAGAATACCTGTGTGAGCTGCTAGACCTGGCGGTGCAGGCTTTCTGTGTCCTGCTATGATGCTGTGTTACACTTTTAGGTGAGAAGTATCTGAAGCAGTAGAGGGACCAGGAAGTGGGTCCCCTAGAGATGAGGCATTCTGCCAGATGGCTTTTAAAAATGCTTTTACCAGTCACCTGATTCATTAATAAGCTTTTGTCTCAGAAGTCTCTGATTTTATAAACTGACATGATTCCTTTTTCTGTTAGGAAGGCACTCTGTTCTAGTCCTTCAAGAAGCCCGCCACGTATTTTTACCACATCTGTAGGTGCTTTTCTGCAGTGTTCACATCATCTTCATGGTCCTGTCAGTGCTTCACAAGTTTTAGATTTGGAGCGTTTTGAATGTTTAGATTAGGGATGCTAGAACTACCGCCTGTAGTAGCGGTTGTATCTATTACTCTGCTAGGGCAAATCAAATTACATAGCAGTGTAAAAACGGCCTGTAAATGTAAAGTCCTGTACGGATTGAAGTTTCTGTTATGAAGAGTGACCCACCTAAGTTCCAGGATTCCTGAGGTAACTTCCATTCTTCAGGGGGACATTCCTGTGGAGCTGTTTGGGTAAATCTGTAGAACTAAAGGTCACCCAGGCCTTGAAGTAAGGTTAAGGCTGAGCATTTGCTTCCATTCCCTCCTCAGAATTCCTAATTAGTGAAGACGTTTGTGGTGATATCTCTTACTCAGAAGGGAAGAACTCTCAAAGGGCTTGCTTGAGTATTCTCACAGAAATGATCCACTTGTTCTTATTCACCCCTGCCCTTTGTGTTTCCCCAGTCCTAACCTAAGAAGTTAGAGATGGAAGGTAGGAAAGAAGCTGGCTGTCAAGTCCACTGACAGAGGTGCACACGCAATTGTGGGGTCTGGGGTAGAGGACTGCCACTCTGGTGCGTGCGCGTGCGCGCACACACACCCACCCACCCACACACACCCACCCATTTCCTCCCATTCCTCTAAGCACTCTACTTAGGGACAGGCAGCCCTAGACAGCTTTCTGTGAGTCTTATTTGCCACCTGGACTTTTTCTGTCTTGAAGACCCTGTGCTGTAACTTGCTTCCGACAGAGGCAGTCCTTGCTGGACTTGAACTTGGGGATGCGGAAAGCTTGAGAGCATAAATACAGTTCACCTAACAGGATGGGAAAAAGAAAGTTGACAATCTTGCTGGAACCTGAACCCCAGGCAGGGTCTCCGCATACTTGACATGTGCTTTCTCTTCCAGAGTTCTGAAGACATCCGGTGCAAATGCATCTGTCCACCTTACAGAAACATCAGTGGGCACATTTACAACCAGAATGTGTCTCAGAAGGACTGGTAAGGCATTACACACAAGCCCTTGGCTGCTATACCCAGTCAAAGTTATGGGTGTTTACTAGAGTTCTTGGACCCTTCAGAATAAGCATGCTCTCCCATTCCTATGGAGAGCCTTTCAAAGGAATAATTTTTCATGTTGCAGAACCAATTCCATAGTTGTCCACTGTCTATGGAAACAGGACCCAGGTGTCTTGAATTCCAGCTCAGGGATCCGTGGCTAGAGGAGTGGATTTTGTTGTTTTGCTTTGAACATTGGTCTTTAGTGAGTATACAGAATGGTGGTGGAGAAGTTGGGAGAGGTAGGTATTATGACCACATACCGCGGGATACCTAATGCTTTTACAAAGCTGTGTTACATGTGTTACTCTGTGCCAGTCTCATAGCATCCTTGTAAGGTACGTGGGATGGATTTTGCTCCCATTTTATAATAGCTTAGACAGAGGCCCAAAGAAATAGAGTCTTGAATTCATTTCTGGGTACCTCACTTTTAAAAAAAGAGTAACCCAGAATTCATTCAGAGAAAGGAGACCAGTGTGGTGAAGGGAATTTTTACCACATTGTCCTGGAAGTAATGGTTTAAGGAAGCAGGGAGAGCCTAAAGACGAGAGGACTTGGGGCCACACGGTGATTGAGAGCTGGCATGTTATGGGAGGTGGGATGTGTGGGAGCTGGTCCTGGGGGCATCAGTTAAGTTCAGTGGGGTTTCTTGGTGTAGAGTTGGGGCCAATGGATAAAGGCTTCAGGGAAACCGACGTAAGCATGAGTTGAGGGAGCATTTCTAAGCTAGGCAGTTTTGGGACCCAGGAAGCTCCATCCTTGGAGGGCCCCGAGCGCAGATGGGCTGAGGTCACTGTGGAAGGGATCAACATCAGATGAAGGTCCAGGTCATTGCTGCCTCTCCTGCTTTCTCAGAACAGGTGAGCTTTGGGAAAATACAGATTCCCAGTACCATCATAACCCCGGATTTTGATTCTTCAAATAGAGTGAGGGGGAGGGGAGGCGGTAACCTTTCTTAAAAGTTCCTTTGCTGCTTAGGATGCAGTTGATCCAGAGTAACATTTGAGAATTTTGAAACTCATTGAATTTCCAACGCCGAGACTGTCAGTGATTTTCTGAGAGGCAGTCTAGTTAGATAGATAGACTCTGTGTTCAGCCTTCCTGACTTCAAATTTAGCTTAGCCACTTGTTAATTGTGTGACAAACTACTTAATCTCCACTGCACTTTGATTTCCTTTTCTGTAAATGATGGCGACATTTTGACTATTAAGTATGTATGTGTTTGTGTGTGTGCACAGGTAAGTATAGCACTTAGAACAATACCTAGCACATAATAAGCACCTATGTAAATGTTAGCTGATATCGTTAATGTATATTATCATGCCTTACTGGTGGCCGCATAGATAGTCATGGTCAAACTTATACCACAGACTGAGAAAGTAGGCCCCTCCTGAAGCGCAGGCCTTATATTTAGCAGAAGTGCGAGTAATCTCCTGGTATCTTGTGGTTATAGTTCAAATAGCATCAGTAAATACTTTGATGAGCTGTCTTAGCCCTTCACCAGATAACAAGGCTGTCTCCCACACTCCTTGTGCAGTCAGACACTTGCAAATTTAGGAACACTCTCTCTGTCCTGGAGTTATAGATGGCCTGAAAACCCAAAGTCAGATGCCTGCAGAGGATGGAGTCCTGTCTAGACCTCTCGGGCTATAGTTTATCTCCTTCTTCCCCTTAGAAGTCAGAATTAAGGCGCTACCTGATGAATAGCCTTACATCAAGAACCTCGGGGCAGTTTCATTAAGGGTGGTAGGTGTAAACTGAGGCTGGAGGAAAGACTCCAGGATTCTAGGACCTAGTGATGCTGACCTTGACTGGGAGTCATCATGCACTTGCCTGGAGCCCCTTAAGGGTAAGGTAGGGCCTTGACATTGATCTGAGCAAGAGGAGGAGGCCAGTTTGAGTGGGTCTTCTGGCTTGCCATGTTTTCACTTTGGTGTCACGTTGGTCCCTGCTAAAGAACACTTGCACCCTTCGCCTTGGTTGTGCAGAGTAAAGCCAGACCCTCTGAGATGCGGTCCTCAGGTTTAATGGCCAAGCCATGTATGTTCCTGTGTTGTTGGTATCCTGCCATCTAGTGTTGAGAGTTTATAACCATATATGCATGTAAAGGCAAAAACCCCAGTGTTGCCCCTTTGGTGGGTCTGGCAAGGAGATGTGTTATTAGAGACGCTCCCAGAGCAGGAAGGCACTTAATACGTTGGCTGGTCCCTTGCCTTTCAAACTTGTTAAAATAGAACCCTTCTGCAAACAAAATCCATTTTGGAAACAAAATCTATAGAAAGTAAAGACGGAATTGCTCTGGCTGAGAGGGAAGTGTCCCTCAGCCCCTCCCTGACTGCCACCCCACCGTACAGTGGTTCCTGTGGGACCCAAAAGAGTGCAGTTTGAAAGACAATGACCAAGTTTAGTCTCCATTTATAAATGAGGAATCCCAGGCCTGGAGAAGTTAAATAAGTTGCCACAAACACAGGAGAGCCAGAGACAGCAGAACTATTTCAGCTCCTTATTGCTGTTCCCCTGGTTAGCAGGATCCCCCATGGAAGGACTCAGGTCAGCCCTACCAAACTGCCTGTGACACCTTGGCCTTAGAAGAAACCCATAGATCCCACTGTAGCACTGGTGTGACCTTCTAGACCCAGGACCCAGTGTGGCTCAGGAAAGGGAGCAATCTGGAGGCTTGTAGAGACTTCCTGGAGAAGGGAAGATGGCGTTCCTTCTGGGCAGGAATGACAGCCAAGCGCCCTGGGTGACCCTTGGTCCTCAACCCCTTCCTCCCAGAGGAAAAAGCATGCAAGACCTGAAAGTGGCACTTTCAGTTACAGCAGGGAGGGAGATGTGCTCACAGCAGGGAGTAACGCGTTGGACGCAGGGTTGGAACTGGGTCATGAGAGGTTTAGATAAACTCATGCATGCCACATACAGATTTTTAGGAAAACAGAGCCTTTTAGAGGACATCCCATTCTTATTCCAGCACATGATCTTTACATCACACACCCTGATGCTTCTGCCAGAAACCCAGCCCTATGGCTCAGAAGGGAGCCGTGCTTGACTTGCAGGATTCCTGTCAGAGCTGGAAGGACCTTTTAAAGATGACCTGGTGTAGCCGCTTTATCTCACAGAGGAGGGGACAGGCCCAGGCTATAGACACTGGGCGGCAGAGCCAGGATAGAGCCCAGGTACACTGCAGCATGACACCCGCTTCACTTCTACACACTGCTAAGGGGTTTGGTGTTTTCTACTGGTAGTGATGAAGTGCGTTCTGTAGGGTTTTTTGCTTTCTCAGTGTGGTCCATGAACCAAATGGTTGGAACCATGCTGATCTGTGGAAGGCTGGGAATGAGAGGCCTGAGACAAGCCAGGCACCAGCCCAGGCCCCACTGAGGCTGAGTCAGAAGTAAAGACATTGAGGCTGAGGGTCTGGATTTGGGTCCTGGCCTCACCACCACTATGGAGATGCCACTTTGCCTCCTAAGCCTGTTTCCCTGTTTTTCGATGTGGAACCTATGATCTTTACCCTGCCTTACTCAGGAGTGCTGTTAGATGAAAGTGGGCTAAGGAGGGCTACTCTTAAGACATGTCATTCCTTTGGCAGTCACTTAGTGACCGAGCTAGGCACTGGGAATATGGAGACTTATAATACATAACCCTGTGTTCAAGGATGTACATCTCCTGGGAGACAGCACAAGTAAAGATTGGATTCCAATGCAGTGCATTAGGGGAGCGGGGTGGCCAAGAAGAGATGGCCAGGGGAGTTGGGGGAAGCTGGCTGTTGGGCATAGGCGGCTGAGCTGAGAGTTAAGATGCGGGGAGGTGGCAAAGCCATGCCCTCCTGGTGAGAGTGTGTGGCTCATTCAGAGAGCAGCCTGGCAGATCAGTGTGATTGGAGGATGGGGAGGTGGGTGAGGGAGACGTGGCAGGAGACGGAGCTGGTCTGAGGTGGGTTGGGACCCCTGGCAGAACAGTTGTGTTGGCCCTGGTGGCTCTGTGGAGGCACTGACTGGGCTTCAGCTGGGGAATGACATGGCCAGGATTGCGTTCTGGAAGACTGCTTGGCTGCCATGGGAAGGTAGTACATATTAGGCCAAGCTAGAGGCAGGAGGGCAGTGTGGAGGCTCGGCGGTTGTCCAAGGAAGACAGGGTGAAGGCCTGCGCTAAGACACAGCGGTGGGAGAGAATAAAGGAGATGGGTTCTAGGAATGTTTAGGGAAGAAAAATCACTGGCCGTTGGTGGATTCATAGATGAGGGGAAGGCAGTGTCAAGGATGATTTCCAGGGTTTGACCCGGACAGTGAAGTGGACGGGAGAGGTGTTCTGTCTGCCATTGGGAATGGGAGGCAGTTTGCAGGACTAGAGAGTTGGGGGCAAAGGATATGCAGGGGTGGGTGTAGAGTTCATAGTCTCAGTCGGACATGCAAAGTGGTGACTCCTGTCGCTCATAAGAGGAGAGCGGCCCTGACTGGAGATTCTGATGTAAGACCCATCAGCTTCTGAGTTGAACCTTTGGGACAGATGAGCGCATGCAGGGAGAATATAGCATGAGATGAGGAAGGTGGCTGGGGGCAGAACTCTGGAACACTGACGGTTTTGGTGCTGGCACCGTAGGCACAGTTTGGAGAGCTGGTTTTGATGTGCAAGGGCCATGGGCTCTGAGGCTGTGGGTTGGGAAGGGATTCTGCCAGCCTAACCCTTTATAAGCCCTCGGCCCCCTCTGGGAGCACCCTTCACCTTTGCCCAGCCCCTACCTCTCAGCTCCCTGGTCTGGAGGCTTTAAGACCTTCTGGCAGCCCTGCCCTGACAGCCCTGTCTGTCTCTGTTGCAGCAACTGCCTGCACGTGGTGGAGCCCATGCCAGTGCCCGGCCACGACGTGGAGGCCTACTGCCTGCTGTGCGAGTGCAGGTATGAGGAGCGCAGCACTACCACCATCAAGGTAATGCCAGGGTCTCCGGGAGCCGGCGGGGCTCCCACATACCATCCCCTCTCCCGGGCTGGCCTACACCTGCAGTGTTCCACTGTATTCTGGAATTCCAATGACTATGAGACTGGCTTCTAAGCTGGCCTCGTATGGACACAGGGACCCACCCCCCACACCTTCCTGGAGCCAGCTCCCTTCTCTGCTCTCTTTCCAGTGGTTTCCCACTACAGTGAGATGGGAGAGCCCTGTTAGAGCTGCATGAGACTCCCTTTCCCCTGCATCCTTTCCAGTTTTTTTCCCTTCCTCTCTCTCCTTCCATTCATCCCGTAAATCTCTTTTCGGTGCCTGCTATGTTCTGGGCACTGTGCAAGATGCTGCCAGTGGGGAGGTCGGCCTGCGCTCCTGGAGCTCAGTCTAATTAAGCTTCCAAAGTGACTAAGCACCTCTAAAAAGCATCAGAGCCGTGGACTAGGGCTGGGCGTGGGGTGCTGGGAGGGACATCAGATTGGTCCTTTTGTATTTTCCTGATCCTTGTTCTCGTTGATCATTTGGGTAAATTCAGGAAAGAGATGATAGGCACAGCCACCGCCATAGGGAATAAGGAAGGACGCCATGAGGTCTCTTTGATTTCTCTGCACCAGGCAGAGCTTCCCGTCTCCTAGAGGCCGTGAAGTCACCCTAACAGAGGCCCTCATGCCTCCCAACCTCCCACTGCGGCCTCCTAGTCCCGGCTCTAACAATCCTGGGCCAGGCGCCTGGCACACCCGGTGCTCACCGATTACACAGCCATTTCTCTTTTTTTTGTTGTTTTTTAGAGATTGGGTCTGACTCAGCTGCCTATGTTGTAGTCCAGTGGCCCGATCTCAGCTCACTGCAGCCCTGACCTCCCGGACTCATGCAGTCCTACCTCAGCCTCCTGATAAGCTAGGACCACAGAGGCACAGCACCACACCCAGCTGATGTTTTAAGTTTTTTGTAGAGACAGGGTCTCACTATCTTGCCCAGGCTGGTTTTGAACTCCTGGCCTCAAGCAGTGCTCCAGCCTTGGCTTCCCGAAGTGCTGGGATTATAGGTGTGAGCCACCATGCCCAGCCTAATGTAGCCTTTTCTGTTCCAGTTTGTAGCATTTCTCTGCTTGTCCTTTGAATAGTCTGTAAACAGCACTGGAAAAATCATTCTCATATTTAAAGGCACTGCCGAGTCCTCCATCAGGTTTCTCCTTTGGAGACACATTTTGGGGGCGGTGGTTGTCACTGCTGTCCTTTTTGCCTGTTCCAGGGAGCCCTGTGCTGTAGCCCTCTGTGTTCTCACCACTCAGGGAAAAAGCAGCTATTTGTCCCCGAACCCTCCCAGCCAGTGCCCTGCGCAGACCTAACTCCTTTCATCCTCCCACCTGAGGCAGCCCCTCCTGGAGCTGCCTTTCTCCTCCTCTGAACTTGCTCCAGTGGGCCCCACCCTCCAGGGACCAGATGCCTGAGACCCGAAATTCAGAGCCAGATGTCGCCGCCTCTCCCTGTTTGGCAGGGAAGGAACTTCCCGGCATGGGGACCTCATCAGACACAACTTTCTAATTCCTACCATTTCCCCCAGTCCTCCTACCTAGGAGGTTCCCCTCAACTTCAGCCTATTGAAGACCCAACCCCTGTTCTCCTTCCGTCTTTCTGGGGTACGTGTGAGAGGTCTGATTATTTGCCCTGTTTAAACAGGCATGAACACGGTATCCCAATCAGGGTGGACATTGGTCCAGTGGAACTTGGCTATTGGCTGAGCTGGGCACCCAACTTGAAAGTCCTGAGGTTCTCCTTTTTTTCACCCTTCTTCACAGTCTAGGTAAGGCAGGGCTGAGATCAGAAATGGGCAATGGCCAGGCGTTGCAGAATTAGGAAAAGCATTTGAGAGGGAGTCAGCAGGTCTGGGTTTGAGTCACACCTCCATCTGGTAGCCTTGGGATCCCAGGTGTTCTCACTCAGATGATTACAGCCCCCCAGTGGGTATTTAGAGGTGGGTGAAGGTCCCAATAACTGAGGTGTATTACCAACACCATTGCAGGGACCATGGATGCTAAATATCCCACCCAAAATCCCAGAGCACCCACACTGAGAAACATTGAATTTGCCTCATTAAATCTGTCTTTTCTGTAAAAGCAAAATGACTCCAGCTTGTGAAGCACTGTGTATATAAGAGATTCATGGAGTTGTTGTTCTACCATTGGCTTTCCCCTCCCTACAGGGGGGCTGATCAGAGGGCAGGCGTGACCTCCTCCCCCAGCGCACACCTTACCTGCCCATGCCACTCTGCACAGGGGCGTGCCATGAATGGGCCAGCGTGCCCCATCCGTCCTGCACTCCACAGAGGCAATGAGCTCCCCAGCCTAGGTTTACTCTTCCTGGCCACAGCTTTCCAGCCTCTCCACAGCCGGTTCTTCCTTGCTATTAGTTTCTGTTTGCTTTCTACCCTTCATCGTGGACTCTTCTACAGCCAGGGAGGCCCTGTGTTCTCACCTCTATCCTGGGAGCCTCTCAGGACGTTAGGCTCCAGACTTCTTCCTCTGTCATCTGCCTTCTGTCTTGATGCCTACTGTGTAGACTCCGTCAAGTTAGGACAGAGCACTTCCTCTGTGGAGTAGGGCCCTCCCTTTCCCTTCGGGGCATGCTTTCCCTCCAGGCACACGTTGCCTCCAAGCCCTTTCTCAGTGCAGCACTTGAGGAGTGACTGCCAGCCATACACAGATGGCCCAAGACTAGAAACGGATTTCTAGCCCTGGCCCCAGATGCCGGTTCACAGGCACGCCGGTGTCTTCCTCAGGTCATCATTGTCATCTACCTGTCGGTGGTGGGTGCCCTTTTGCTCTACATGGCCTTCCTGATGCTGGTGGACCCTCTGATCCGAAAGCCGGATGCATACACGGAGCAACTCCACAATGAGGAGGAGAATGAGGTAAGAGGGCTTTGAGTGCCCAGGCCCTGGGCTCCCTGTGTGTGCGTCCCCAGGGCGGAAGCCAGAGGAGCGTCTCCTAGGTTTAAGTTGCTCTTCTCCCAGTTGGTGTCCTACATGTCACCCAGACTCAGCAGGGACCCACCCTTTGCCCTTCCAGATGAAGCAGGACACCTGGCATCAGGTAGCCTCAGTGCACAATCCAGGGGAGCTATGTCGTCCTGCTACACTGCTGCCAGGCATAGGGGAGGTGACCAACCAGGGCCAGTCACTCATAGATGCACGTGCTGTTCCCCGTGTGCTCAGACACGTGACAAGCTGCTGGTGGACTGGAAGGCGGCAAGTTCATTCGTTGGTTCAGTGATTTCACAAACATCTGTTGAACACTTGCTCCAGGGTCTGGGGGGAAATGTAGGATTTCAAGAGTGGAAGAGGAATGAGGCAGACAGTGGTGTCAGGCGGTGGACATTGCCTGATGAGTATGTATGAGGAATACTGAGCATGGTAAGGATAGGGTGGGGATGTGGGAATAGTGGCCAAGAGAGCTGGCCAGTAGACTTAGGCCACATTATTAAAGATCCCAAATGTCAAGCTAAGGGGGATTGGCTTTATCTGATAAGGTAAGTAAGGAACCACTGACGCCAGAGAGCCTGCAAGACCTCCAGGAGTTGACACAATGTTGGGGAGCTGGTGAGGCCTGGATGGGGCCCGGCTCAGTTAACAGGTGCTCTCACCGTCTTCCCATTTATCCTCATACTAAAAAGGACGCCATGGAGAGGAAACCTAGGGCGACAGGAAGGCTCAGGTGAAGGGCTCTTCATGGGAGTAAGACGTGGTGCACCTCCGTGCTGAGCAGAGTCATGATAAGCCCCACACTCCCCAGGTGGTCTAGGGGAATCTCCTTGCCGGAGTAAGGACTGCACAGTCCCGTGTGCCTCGGGCTCCCCCTTTACACACTCATATACCAGCTAGCTGGGTGCACGAGGTAGCAGAGCTCGGAGGGTCTGCCAGCAGAGCAGGCTGCTCAGAGGTGTGCAGCCGAGGCAGGTGAGGTTGGCTGCTGCTTCCACTCTGAGCTCTGTCCCCAGGCCTTGCTGCTGGAAGATATTCCTGTTTATTGACTGATGGAGCAGTGCCCTGAGTGAACTCATGCGTATGCATGAGGAATATCTAGTGGGGAAGTGCCTCAGCTAGTCCTGGGAGAATTAGTTGAAGAAACTGAAAGTTGTTTAGCTTGAAGTTAGAAACAACTAAAGGAGATGCAGGATAGCCGCCCTTGGAAGTTTGTAGGAGACGGCGTAGCCTCACCCGGGGACAGAGAGATTTAACACTAGCACGATGTAAGCTGGAGGCTAGGAGTCTCCCTGCAGACAGCGTGGTCTATGAGGTAGATGTGCTGGGCTCCCTTGCAAGACCATGAGCCAGTTCCTCACCAAAAAGAGGACCCAGGGGCTCAAGTCTGAGTGTGAGGCTGCGTGGGTGATGTGGGTCTGGGCCAGCATGAACAGTGAAGACAAGGGCAGGTCAGGGAGGGAGCCTGGTTGCTCCCGCAAGCCGTGTTGCTCCGCCTTTACACATGCCTGGACCTCTCCCAGTTTCCCCCCAGCCTCCTGCTGACATGAGTTTAGCCAAAGGTGGAGCAGAGGAGATGAGCCTTGCCCCGTTGGAGCTGGGGCCTGGGAGGTGGTGGCACTGGCAGTGGGTGGTCTGTGTTCAGGAGGAACCCTCCTGCGACTGCCTGGCTATTAATGCAGAGTAATAGCAGCTCTGACAGGGGAGGAGCGTCACTAACAAACACTCAGTGATTAGGGGTAATGTGGTAATTGCAGTCCCGGCTGGGGTAGTAATTGAGACATGCAGCACAGTGATTTCCGTGGAATGCGTGGCTCTGGGGCATGGCCTTGTGTCTCCTCCTGTCCTAGCTAGGCAGTTGGAGGGAGGGCAGCTCGGGGAGGGCAGGTTGCCATCCCTGGGTCTGAAGCCACGTCTCTCTTACCCCCAGGAGACCTGGGGTGCTCCTCATTTGCAGCCTGATTGTATGAGGGGCCTTGGGAGGAAGAAGGGGTTAGATTTGGGAACCAGTAGCAGGTGCTGGGAGGACAGTAGGTTGTGACAGTCCACAGCACATAGAAGCTGGCGAGCCATGCTCCCGGCTGGAGGGGAAATTTCTGCGCTGGGATGGATAGTATGACACCCCCTCGCCTCTCACCCAAGGTTCTAAAAGGTCATAAAAAGTTGTGTTTAGTCTTTGATACCCTGACCGAGGGTGCAGCCAACTCTGGCAGGTTGTGGCCTGCGGCAGGTAGATCTCATCGGGTGCCCTTGACTGGGTAAGGAAGTGCCCCCGGTCCCGTTCTTTGTCATCACCTCTCCATCCCCTCACCTCTTGTGATTCTGTGTGGTCTCCAGGCCGCAGGTGTCTGTGGTTCAGCAACTCTGCTTTTCTCAGTATATTCAGAAGACCTGTAGGTGGCACAGTGTTGAGGTTTACACAGACCCTTTGGCTCCCTCTCCCCAGTTCCTGTGGCCAGGAGCTCTCCTGCCCTGGGGGTGGAGAACTGGAAGAGGAAGGGGAGGCCTCCCCCTCAGCCGCAACCCCTGTCATGGAGGGAGATGAAAGCCTGTCATGTCTGCCTTCGGGGGTTTAAGCCCCAAAAGCAGGCGAACCAGCAGGAAACGTAAAGGCTGGCAGTAAGATCCAGCTTCGTAAGATGGGTGGTCAGCTGAGGAAGTCAGGTGCCTTGGGAGGTCCCTCTTTATTAGACAAGGGGTCAGGAAGTTACCCTTCCCTCTGTGTTAGTCTGGGAAGGAAGGCTTGGTGGTAGAGGGGGATTTTCAGTGCCAGCTCAGGATGGATGGGAGAGTGACCGCTGAACTGCAGGGAGGATGAATGGGGTACTACTGCGGATGGACAGAACTCAAGGAGTTTGTCTTTACAGAGACCTGTGGCCCCAGTCCTGGACGGCGAGGGATGATCTGCTGCCCCTCTCAGTGCACAGAGGAAAGGGATGTGGGGAAACATGGGAGTGGGGGGCAGGCACTCAGCTGGGCAGCAGCACCTAGGCTGTGGCCATGTCTCTGGGTTTCACCCCAAGAGGAACAAAGTCTGGACATGGCCTCTTGGGTACCTTGAAAGCTCACCTAGGCCTGTACAACTCGTTGACTTTAGAAGAAAAATTCTCTGTAGGCTCCAGGGGCTTTCAGGCCCTATGCCCCAGGAGTCTGGGACCTAGTTAGAGGTGAGATCAGCAGGGCATTTTCTCAGGGTTAGGGGCCCCTTGGCTCCCTCTCCCCAATTCCTGTGGCCAGGAGCTCTCCTGCCCTGGGGGTAGAGAACTGGAAGAGGAAGGGGAAGCCTTCCCCCACCCTCAGCCACAGCCCCGTTCATGGAGGAAGATGAAAGCCTGTCATGTTCCCTTTGAAAGCGTTGGCAGAGCCTCAGTGGGCCCTGATTGCTGGGCGCTGCCTCCCCTGGGATTCCAGCAGCATTAGGCCTAATCCCTGGGCTCAGACGCCCTTTGAAAGGAGGAAGCAAGCATGTTTGCTGGGGCAGAAACGGCAAACAGAGCTGTTTTAGATGTGCAGGTTGGGCCTTCTTTGAAGAGACACATGGTTTCTCTGAGGCTGGGGATGTCGCCGCTCACAGTGTGGGCCCAAGCTCTGAAGAGGTCTTCAAAGTGCTCACCTCCTGGGGCAGTGGGTAGAGCTCTGGGCCCCGTTTGGGAGAGAGTCTACAGGGAAATCAAGGAAAGGTGGTGATGATGATGGGAATCGGAACACATAGGCACCGGGAGGGGACTTGGGCCACTGAGGGGCAGTTTCCCCTCCTGTCTGCACGTGGGTGGACAGCTGTGTGCTGAGGACCCCAGGCCTGGGGAGCTGACAGTGAAACATGGCACAGACATGCTGATGAGGGCAATGCAGACGGCCTCCTCCCCCGAGGGCAGGATAGAAAGGTGTGCAATTCCACAGGCACTTCTAGAGCCCCCAGTCGGGGTGGCAGAGCATTGTGGTGAATCACAGTCCTGGGAGGGGCCAAGCCCTGCCACTATCTGTGGTGCTGACGTCCTGGTTTAGTTTTCTAAATCTGGAACAGACATCATTTTTATCTCGGCATAACTGTTGTGATTGTGTATGTGGAAGCTTTACAAGTGTTTGCTCATCCTTAAGAGTGTGCCATTTCAATTAGGTGTTAACACTTACGTAGCATCATGATTGCTGGAGGGAAGCCTGAGAGACAGCGTGCACAGGGGCCTGAGTGAGGTGGTCACCTCAGATAGAGAGAGACGCGTGGACCAGTGCGGCCAGAGGGCTGGGGCAAGTGGGGAGGTGAGGCTGGGAGTGCCCTCGGATGTCAGGTTCAGCGGGGTTTTATTTGTGAGCAGCTGGATCCTGGCGGGGGTGTTTGAGCAGGGAAACAGCATGATCTGGTGTGTCATAGGAAGGTGGCTCTGGCCGCAGCAGCAGAGTGGGGCTTGGCAACAGCAGCAAGGATTTGGGTCAAACTTGGAAAACTCAGGGAGGCTGTGTAGTCCCCTTGCTGAAGGGCCTTGCACTAGGGCCATGCTTTGCTGAGTGGCTGGTAAATGACAAGACCGCCTGGTCATGCTCCTGTGCCTGGGCCTGGCGGGGAGGGAGGAAGAGCAGCCAGAGGGGAGAGCCGCCTGAGGTGGAGTTCTCTTTCTCCCTCTGTGTCCTCGTCGTCAGACTTGGGCCAAGTCCAGTACCAGCTCAGAACCAATGCTTCTGGGCGGACTGGGACGGCCTGAAGGGCTCAGGGCTAGTTTGATCAGCTCAGGCTTATCCACAGTTACTTGGGTCCTCCCAGTGCTGGAGAGGAGGGCCTCGATTGATGTCCTGAGCACTGGTTCCTTACAGGTGCTTTGTTCTTGCTCTAGCTGTGGGGAAAGGTATGGAGCTGTCTCTTTGCCTGTCCACGCTGGCTCCCTCTTAGGAGAAACCAGCCAAAGAAGGGTCCAGCAGGTCCTAGGATAAGAGATATACATCCATGGGTTCAAGTTCCGACTTGGCCGAGAAACAGCTGTGCAGCCTCGGGCAGCAAGATGATTCACCTTTCAGAGCCTCATTTTCTGCAGCTCCACGATGGGATGGCTTTACCCATTTTCCAGCATTTGAGCCTGGGAATAATCTGTAAGGTGCCGAGGGAGCGCCTGGCTCGTAGTGGCACCCGTCATAGTCACCCTGGTCTGGTCCCCTTGGGGACCTCCTGGGAACCCATCCGTGTCCAAGCTCTTTCTCCTGATTGGGAGGGCTCCACCTGCCTCCCCTCCTAACTACCCTTCTGTTCCCGAGTTACCCAGAGTCCCAGCCTCAGGGGCAGAGGGGGAATTGGTGGTATTTCTCCTGCCATCCGCCATACTTGCAGCAGAGCAAGCAAGGATGAAGCCCCACTCTGGGCTGTCTCTGAAACAGATGCGGAGTCTTTAATACCTTTTAATCAGACTATTAGCGATGGAAACACAGCCTCTGAGTGGCAGCTTTCCCCCACTTAGGAGCTGTTTGTTAAGACTTTACATGAAGGGAAAACAAATGATACTGTGGTAATGCGGTGAATTTCAGCATGTTCCCTTAATGCTCTGCTCTTGGCTCTGCCTGGCTTCCCCTCCTCAAGACGCTCCCCTGAGAAGCAGAGCAGTGGAAGGAGGGCAGAGCTAAAACTGCCCCACCCTTCCAAGCCTAGCACCCCTCACTGCAGCCCTGTCATGAGGAAGACGGTCCCAGAAGGGATGAGCTTGGGAATGTAAAGAGGAAGAGAAGGCATGCCAGCCCCCAGAGCCAGGATGGCCAAGTCCTGGTGGGCCAGCAGCTTCCCACATGGGTCTTTAGTGCCCACCTCGTGTAGATGGCCACATAGCAGCAGGACTGGGTGGAGCCTTGGCCTTAGCACTGTGGCCAGCTCAGTCAGCACAGTGAACGGGGAAGGCATGGAACTGGAAGGAGGGGCAGCAGTCACAGCAGTTTTCACAGGTTTTCGGCTGGTAGCAGGCTGCCAGCCTTACTGCCTAGTAGGTTCCATTGCTAGGGTCTGGTATCAGTAATCGCTCCCAGGGTAGAAAGAAGCCAAACCTTTCTTGAGCCCTAGCTCTGTGACAGCCAGGATAGTAAGTGCTTTATATGTATGTCATTTAACTTTGCCATACCCATCTGCTAATCATAAACCAGTGTATTTAAAACAAGCCATTAGGTCATAAAATGAATTTTGTGAGTCATGACCATGAGTTTTTAAAAAATAAAATGGAACAGAGCAAAGATTAACAGAATGATTTGTTTTGTGAAACTTCTTTTCACTTTGTGTGTGTCTGTGTGTGTGTGTGTTAGATAATTTGGTAACTATAATTCCTAATGACTGTATAGCAGAAAAAAGTCTCAATAACTAGATTTATTAAATTGAAGCTTGGAGAAATAAAGTAACTTGTTCGGGACACACAGCCTCAGAAGTGACTGAGGTCATGACTCCTTCCCAGCCCTGCTGTGGACCTGTGGTTCCACCTGGGACATGGGCCTCGGGGGGTCTAAGGAGGGAAGGGGCAGGTGGTCCTCAGACTAGGAACAGAATCCAGGGGTTCTGATATCAAGCTCAATGTGCCCTCTGCCTGACATGGCCACCCCTGCCCTTCAGGTGTTGCCTGATCCTCACCTAGCCTGGCACAGGAAGCCTTCCTCACAGCCTGGACAAGAGGCTCCCAGAGGGCAGTGTCCACCTCTAACACAGCCCAGAGATGAGTGCTCACAAGACGAAGTCCTCAGGGCTCCAAGAGGATGATGGAAGAACCCTTCCCAGCCTCCTCCCTGCCAGCTCATTCTCTGTCCACCCTACCCTCACCTCACCACCCCCCTTCTCCCCAGCCTGGCAGCTGCATGGTGACAGAAGCCGTGCCAGCTCGGAGCATTAGAAGCAGAGTTGCATTTACTGGGCGGCTCTGGGCTTAGAGAAGTGCACTAATCCCTTAAGAGATGTGTGGCAGGAGATGAGAGGCAGGGAGAGCTAGGGAGGAAATCCCCATGGGGGTGCGGGCCTGGCCCTCAGCTCTAATTCTCTCCAAAGATCAGGTTCAGGTCCTGCAGGAAATGCATGGGCTCCGGAGCTTCAGAGGCAGAGAAGTGGTAATTAGGGGAGGATGCTTTTGACAGCAGCAACAGTTCTGAAAGCAAAGGGGAAGGGGATCAGTAGAGGCAGATAGGGAGGAAGCTGAGCTGTCCTCAGCTATCAAAGGAGAGAGTGGGCCGGAGTGGGCTCTGCAAAGGGAATGCCGGGGCAGCTCTGAATGTCCATCCCTGCCAGACTCCCTGAGTGATGTCACATCAATTTTTCCCAGAGAAACTAAGATCCCGTGAATCTGGATCTGTGCAGACTCCTCAGTAGGCCCCTTCCTCCCATGTGGAGCAGATGTGCTGCCATCTCAGGGTCCAGACCCTACCCCTGGTCCTTCCTCCGGTTCCCTGGGCAGTGGTGGGGAGGGCAGGGGAGTTCTCCAGCCTAGTAACTAGCCCATGAGGGCACCTCAGTGCATTTCCTCAAATAACAAGTGTCATCTCGTCGCCTGTGCTTAGAATCCTTCTTGAGAATTAGAAATGGTGGAGTGGGGCATGGCGAGGGGTGGGTTCGGGCTGGGAACCTGACTTGAGCTAGCTCTGTTGCAGAACTGGGACCCCAGCAAAACCCACTCTTCCTGGAGTGCTTCCTTTCCCAGGCCCCAAGGAGGGGCAGGGGCCCTGTCTTGCAGATACTGCAGACACTAAGGCCTGCAGCAGGCCAGGCACACTGCATTCAGCTCTGCGGATGACAAGGCGAGATCCTCAGTGAGCCCACAGCCTCCCAGTTTGGGGGAGGTCATTCTTCCCACGTCAGACTTTCAGGACCCAAGACCCTTCTGGCTTGCAGTGCCAGAGCTTCTCTTGTTTTCTTCCCACTACAGGATGCTCGCTCTGTGGCAGCAGCCACTGCATCCCTCGGGGGACCCCGAGCAAACACCGTCCTGGAGCGCGTGGAAGGTGCTCAGCAGCGGTGGAAGCTGCAGGTGCAGGAGCAGCGGAAGACAGTCTTCGATCGGCACAAGATGCTCAGCTAGATGGGCCGGTGTGGTTGGGTCAAGGCCCCAGCGCCATGGCTGCCAGCTTCCAGGCTGGACAAAGCGGGGCTGCGTCTTCCTTTCCTCAGTGCCAGTCTTCCCTTTAAAAGCCCATGGCATTTTTCCTCCTTCTCCCTGACTTGAGAAATGTTGTGCTTGGCTATTTGATTAGGGAAGAGTGATGGGGTCTCTGATCTCTGTTGTCTCCTTGGGTCTTTGGGGTTGAAGGGAGGGAGAAGGCAGGCCAGAAGGGAATGGAGACATTCGAGGTGGCCTCAGGAGCGGATGTGATCTGTCTCTTCTGGCTCCACCCTTGCCACCTTCCAGCTCCGAGTCTTGGGAATGTTGTTATCCTTGGACGATAAAGCTGGGTCTTGAGGAACTCAGTGTCTGGGAGGAAAGCCTGGCCCAGCATTCAGCATGTGCTCCTTTCTGCAGTGGTTCTTCCCACCACTTCCCTCCCAGCCCCAGTGCCTCAGCCCCAGCTCCAGCCCTGAGGACAGCTCTGATGGGAGAGCTGGGCCCCTGAGCCCATGGTGGTCTTCAGCGTGCACCTGGAGGCTGGTTCCTGTGCCCGTGCACTTCCCCCACCAGGGCATGGAGTGCCCATGCACGCTTTGGTGCCGGTCCCCTCACCTGCACTTCAGGGGGCTGGGCAGTCCCTCCTCTCCCAGCATCCACGGTTGCTGAGCCAGACGGTTGGAACACGAGACTCAAGAGGCTGGGCGTGGATCTGAACACCACGGCCCCTGCCCTTGGGTCACCTCTTGTTCCCGAACTTGATTGTACCAGTGCATCGTGAGAAATTTTGTCCTGTTGTCTTAGAGTTGTGTGGAAATCAAGGAAGCCATCATTAAATTGTTTTATTTCTCTCACTTTCTGGATTTTAAGAGATTTAGGGAACTAGGAATTTTTCACAAGTGACCTGGTAAATGTAGTGTCCAAGAGAGGGGACAGAGAGCATTGCACTTGGTAGGTCCAGACAGAGGCAGAGCCTTGGGAAGTCCAGGTGGCTGTGGCAGAGCCATGGTGCAGTCAGGCCAAGGCCAGGGCTTGCTGGAAGTCCCCCTCACCTGATGAGGAAGGAGATGGGTAGGCTGGGGCAGGAGCACAGGGGGAACTGGCCCTTGGGAGTTTTCCTGAGATTTTATTTGCTTCATGTTTGTGGGCGATTCCTCTGAAACTGAACAGTGCCTGATTCATACTAATATCCTACAGACACAGTAAATAATGCTCCCTGCAAAACCCCTATGTATCCCCAAATGAAAACCAACAGGTATTAGAAGGGTTGGTGGGGGCAGCCAGAATACTGGAGCTGCCCCATAGAAGGAAGTGCCAGCAGCTTCAACAAGGACATCCAGAGGAGCCCAGCCCTGCCTCAGCCCAGTCCAGATGTGCGGTGCAAGGCACGTCCAAGACCCAGGTGGAAGCAACGCATCTAGAGGGACTGAGCTGATGTTCCTGTCCTCAAGGTTGTCCAGATAAACATGGATTGAGAACCTTTGTATGGGCCCCCATGCTGGGTTCTTGGAGAGGGGAGGGAGGTTGGAGAATGACGGGAGGTGGGGGGTCAGTTTGAGGTGGGAAGTTCAGATCCAGTTAGAAGCATGAAGGGGTGGGGCCTGGGTGACCTGCAGATGGGGCTCCCAGGAGGAGCAGAGACTCTGGTTGGCATTGGGAACAAGGGACACCGCTGAGAGGGGACTAAGTGGATTATGGGATCCTGAGCGAGTGCACTTAGGAGGTTTGTGGTAGGGCTTGCAAGAGAGAGAGAGAGATGTGCCCCAAATGCAAGGCTGGGACAGGCGTCGGTACTGATGGCATTTCTGCCTGTTCCTTTACTGGGCAGCTACTCAGCGCCTACCAGGGCCAAGTACTGCTGTGGAAGCTACACTGGGCTGTTTTATTCTTTCAGGATGGAGATGCTCTTATTTCAAAAGGCACACAAAAGCAGCACTTTCCAAAGGTGGGGCAGGTGGGTGTATTGACTTATCAAGAATAACCAGTCCGGAAGTTGGTGTCTAACATTGCCAGTCCTCCCCTGTGAAACCACATGCCCTGGGGAAAGTTTCGCCAGTGCTACATATCTCTGAGGCTTGGCTGAGTCCTGCAGATGACCCAGCCTGGCTTTTAAGGATTTGGTCTGAAGCAAACAACCGCTGTTAACTATAAATAAGTCGAACTATAAGTCCAGTGTATGAACATTTATAAAAGATTAGGAGTGACTGTTCGCTTTACTGAGGATTCAACCAGTAACCAAACATCTCAGTGTGTCTCCACACACACAAAACCCGATTTTCAGACGATGGCAGAGTATTCACGCTTCATCTCTGTGAATAGGAAAGGGTGGAGATCCCCAGCAGGGGGAGAGTGCACTGCTTGGCTGATAGCTAGAACAGATGTTAAGACCCCTGCAGCCGACGGTGGAAAAGATCCAAAGTGACGTTCTTCATCCCATCTTACATGATGTAAAAGGAACAGAACTTGGTGCTGTTGTGTTCAGAAATCCTGTCTCCCCTCAAACCCACTCACCATACTGTTCTGTAATAGATTGGTCCCACCTGGAAAAACAACTGGCTGGGGTTGGGGCTGAGAACCTGAGCCTCAGAATTGGTCTCCACGGTTAGAGGTCAGCACTCATCCCTCGTGTGGCTCACAGGGAGAGGGAGAAGCCAGCCTGCTTTCTCCTGGCCTTTCCTTTATTCTCCACCCAGCCTGACTCAGTCCTCCTCCTCCTCCTCCTCTTGTTTTCGGGTATCCATCGTTATGCATCTGCCAGCAAAACCCCAACCCCACCCAGTAGGACTTCCCTGCTCCTCCCTGGGCAGCCCAGTGCTGCCACAGAGGCTGAGGGTGCCCTGGCAGGTGCGTGGCCTCCACCCCCTTCCTTCCCCGACGAGGGCCAATAATCCACTCTTCAGGCCACTAGGTAACCTTCCTGTTGCCCCTCTCCCTCTCCTAGAAAATCCTGCCTATGACTTCAAGAAAATTGAGTGATCTCTACTCCCTCACCCACATCGTTAAATCATTCTTCATTCATACTCATCCTGACTGCCTTTGTTACAGTCTTGGGAGTAGTGTGTTCCTGCTCAAAGCCAACCCCCCACCCCATGTTTCGTGGGACTCCATCATTTCTCCAACTCCCCCCACCAAATACGGCTTGGGACCTTCATTGTTTCTCCAATTCCCCCAAATACTGCTTGAGACCTCCACCATTTCTCCAACACCCACCCCCAATACTGCCTGGGACCTCCACCATTTCTTCAATCCCCCCTAATACTGCCTGGGACCTCCATCATTTCTCCAAACCCCCAATACTGCCTGGGACCTCCATTTATTTCTTCAACCCCCTCAATACTGCCTGGGACCTCCACCGTTTCTCCAACCCCACCCAAATACTGCCTGGGACTTCCACCATTTCTCCCAATGCCCCCCAAATACTGCCTGGAACCTCCATTCTTTATTTCTCCAACCCCCCCAAATACTGCCTGGGACCTCCACCATTTCTCCAGCCCCCGCAATGCTGTCTGGGACCTCCATCATTTCTCCAACACCCCCCCCAATACTGCCTGGGACCTCCATCATTTCTCCAACCATCCCCCCAAATACTGCCTGGGACCTCCACCATTTCTCC